ATTTCCGTCAATTCAACTCCATGATTTGGATGGCGTCACGTGCTCGTCCTTTTCATTTTTAATATTAGTAGTAATTTTTATTTTTAAACTGTGAAAAATAAATGGATAAATTATTTGAAAGTCCTGTTTAAATGATGATAAGTCTATTTAGTCTTATAATCTTTTGAATACTCTCAAAAGTTCACTACGTATTTTTCTTCTTCATTCTTCTCTCCGTTCGTTTTTCTTTACCTCTTTCTCTTCCTGACTTTTGGTGATCAATGACCAAGCCTTGCTTCTTCTCTTTCTCTTTCTAATATATAGTCACTGATAACCGACGACCATCATTGCTTGGGGTTCACCAGCAACCACCGACCATCAACTGCTGACTTCACCCTTACCGACAGCAAAAGAGATGAGTTTCCGACAAATAAGATTAGTAGATCTGCTCAAATCTGATGTAGATCTACTCAGATCTGAGTAAATCTATATGAGATTTGGCTAGATCTAAACCAAAAATAGTTGTCGGAGTACAATGTTCTCTCTATATCTGTTTCTCTCATTCGATTTCTTAATTTTTCTAAATTTTCTCTGCTACACGCTTCTATTTTCCTATTTTAATAGAGAAAATTTTCAAGTTCTGAACAATTTGTTTTTAAGTTTTAGTTACATGCGGTGAAAATTATAAAATTTTATAGTTTCAATTTTTTTGGTACTGAAATAAATCATACTTTAAAACTGTAAAATTTTACATATTCATAACATTATTTAAAATTGTAAAATTTTGTAGTTTCATAACATGTTTTCCAGTCTGATTAATAAAAATAAATACTTAATAGAATTATACTTTGAAACTGTAATATTTTACAGTTTCAAAACTTACTTTTTAATTTGACCAATATTGGAAATTTTTTGTTTAAACCCTAAAAAAATTAAAAATAATATATATTTTTTCCATTATCGTTTGTTGTTGTTATGTTTTTTTTTTTTCTTTCAGTTTATCAATATTTAGCACATTTTTTTATATTTTTTTTCACTATAATTTCTTCAGTTTTTTTTTTTTGATAATATTCTAAATATTTCAATGAGTCTCCAATGATATTCTTAACGTTCAACAAACATTCTGGACATTCTAGCGACTTCTAGTGATGTTCAGAACACTCCAGCGATACTCCGGCGAACTTTCCAGTGATGTTGAATATTCTGGCAAGTCTCTGGTAACCGTTTGACAAAAATCCGATAGGGGTAGAATGTAGGGGCGGAGGCATAGCAGAGCCAGGGGGATCACGTGCCCCTCCCTCAGTTTTGAAAACTTTTTTTTGGTTTTGTTATTGTCATGTATAAAATGTATTTTCTTTTTTTTTCTTAACATGTTCTTTGACTAAGGATTTATTATATTGTTCATGACAAGTAGTTATTTGATACTTTAGGAATACTATGTGGTATTGTTTATGTAGTAGTTTAAATCAATAGTGTAGCGACAAATATTATAAATTGGATATAATGAACTCATTATTTCCAAGTAGTTGACATATCACTTAATGTGATTTATGATTTTCTATACTTTGAGCATTACGTAGGCAACGCCATATGGTACTCTAAGATTGTTTAATAATTTTCATTCAAAACACATCATTTATAAGCAATATCATCTCTTTAATATTTTTCTGTCGAATAAAAATTAAATAGATTTTATAATAATTTGTGCTGTAAATGATGTGTTTTTATTTTTTACAATTAGGAATTTTCATCCACAATTTTTTATGTTAAAATTACAAACTTACATCATCATCACACACCGAGCTATTTCACACTATTATAGAATTTTGATTTGTTCTTATTAATAATGAATATGTAATTTTCTATGTTTAAAATTATCTCATAAAATTGAGTTATGTTAGGGACTCCAAATAAATTACAAAATATTCTACCAAACATCGCACATGGGTGTAAGATCCACATACATATGAGATGTTTGGTAGAATTACGGGTGGGCGCGGGTCGGTTGCAGCCACGAAACCTCCAATCCGCCATCCGTCCGCCAGATTGACGGATTAGAGAAAATCAATCCGCATCCGTCCGCCAATCCGGCGGATGTGGATTGAGGGAATTGGCGGTTTGGCAGATTGACGCGAATCGGTTTGGCGGTTTAAAATTTTATAAATTTTCAACATAATTCAACTTGTGCACTTCCTAAAAAAAGAAGAAAGTATTGCAGTTAATGACTTAAAAAAATATTGCAATCACTGCACGCCTCATCCAAAGAAAGAAAGTTTAAAACTTTAGAATATCACAATCACTTCATGCCTCATCCACATAAAGTATTACAATCTATGGTTCTTAAAATATAAAAACAATTCAAACCACCAAAATCATGAATAAAGCAGTAATAGATATTGTATGTCTCTGTATTGTTACATCTATATCTGTTTTTGAAAATAAAAACCAACCAACATATATCATATTTTCTATTTTTAGAGATAGATTTAAAAACCAAAAAATATAGATAAATAATACGTTTATTTTTTTCAATTCAAAAAAGATATTCAAGTTGAAAATTTTTTTTCAACAGAATATTTAAACTCTTTTTTAATTGAAAACGTAAACAGAATATTTAAACAAACTAAAAATACAAAGCCTTATAAATTATTAGGCGTGTTCGAGGTTTGGCGGTTCGATTGCAGTCAAAGGAATCTCAAATCCGCCATCCGTCCGCGAGATTGGTGAATTGGAGAAAATCAATCTGCAACCATCTACTCGTCATCACGCATCCGTCCAAAATGCGGCAGATTGGTTCGGTTCGGCCGGTTTTGACGGATCAGTATATCCGCTGCTCACCCCTAGGTAGAATATATGATAATTCATTTGGGGTCTATAATATTTTCTATTTTGTTTTGAAACTAGATAAATTTTAAATTTTGTACATAAAACTTATTAGTAAGTGCTCCAAAATAAATTCGTATTTTCGAAAATTTAAACTTTAATGACCGTTGGTTTAAAGTTAATTACAGCCAAATTTGAAACGTTACAGGGTATATTGATACGGCTCTATATACAGAGACAAACAAGCGTTGTGTTTTTGTTTAATTTTGTTTGCTTGTGTAATATAGACAATTATTGTCACCTTATGTATATTTTGAAAAAATGAAATACTAGGAACGCAATTAGAGGTGTAATTTGGGCGGACTCAACCCGAGCAATTCGTGCTTAGCCTAAGCTTTTTTAGAGTTTGGGCAATAATATCTTGTAATCTAGATGAGTTTGGACAAATTTTTGATGCTCGAATTGTAATTTCGGCTGGGCCAAGGCAGAGTCAGTGGCTAACCTAAACCTGAATTTCATTTAATATATTATATAAATTATATAATATATGTATAAAATAAATTAAATATTTGGCCCTTAATTTTTTTTTTTTGGCTAGTCTTTGGCCCTTAGATTATCATATTTTATTTGGACCATTAGATTAAAACTAAAAACAAAACCCTACCTTATCTATTCTTTCTCCCCTCTTGGAGACTCTTGTGGCTAGGATGATGTTTAAGTTTGTTGTATGGACTAATGGATTTATGTATATAATGAAGCAATGTTTGTTATATGGAAAAATTTAGAAGCTGTTTGTTGCCTTGTGAAATTCGGGCTAACCCGAGTTCGAATTATGAAGATTGGCCCGGCTTGGACAGCCATGCTCGGGTTGATTGTCGGGTTTGGGCACTGCCAAATATAATTTGTTGGAGACTCTTGTGGCTAGGATGATGTTTAAGTTTGTTGTATGGACTAATGGATTTATGTATATAATGAAGCAATGTTTGTTATATGGAAAAATTTAGAAGCTGTTTGTTGCCTTGTGAAATTCGGGCTAACCCGAGTTCGAATTATGAAGATTGGTCCGGGCTTGGACAGCCATGCTCGGGTTGATTGTCGAGCTTGGGCACTGCCAAACATAATTTGGGCTAGGCTTGGACAAATCTCTGACTCGACAGAACCCATCCAAATTACACCCCTAAACGCAATACACCAAATACAAAATCAAACACGAATATCCCATAAAGCGTGAATTTCACATTATGTAAATCTCATTTCCTATAAAATATTTATATTTATTTTGTATTAGTCTTTTATACCCCTAGCCTTATTCATTTGAAAAGTTGAATATTAATAATAGAGACGGTAAAACACAAAATGAAACACTTATGTCTCATAAATAATAGGTCCCAATCACAGACTTATTGTTAGAAAATGTGATTATTTTTCTTTAAAGTAAATTATAATTACATTTCTTAAAATTTGTTTAAAATATGAATTGTCTCATATAGTTCTAAAAATTACATCTCGCCTTTTAAAGTTTTTAATTCTATAACAAATAGCCCTTGTTGTTAATAAATTATCAAATCAATTAACAGTTTTTAATAATATTAAAAAAAATTCAATTAATAATTCAAGTAATTTTACCATTATATAAAAGAACAATTAAAAAAAAATCAACTAATTCTATTAAATAAAAAATTTTAACAATCGTAAATTTTTAAGTCACAAGAGTAATCCGTCTTTTAAGAATCCAATTTGTACCAAGATTGGACCCGTCCAATCAACTTCACGGATTCATTTTTAGATTCCGTTTCGATAATTCGAATCGTTTAATATGTAGAACTCGTCAAATACTACATTCTTGTAAAAAATCACGTTGATCGGATATTGATAACTATTTGATCGAATCAAATTTGTATTAAAAAAATGAACAGTGAAAAAATAAACGGTTGATAAAATTCTGATCCGATCAAATAGCTATCGATATCCGATCAATGTGATTTTTTATAAGAATATAATACGAGTTCTACAAATTATACTATTTCAGTTATCAAAACGGGATCCAAAAATAAATCCGTAGGCCGTACTGAACTAGTCCAGTCTTGCTCTCAACATTTGAGAAGCTGGATGGACCCTTTATAATTAACCCCTTTCTTCTATGCATTTTCGCGACTCCCAAACACATCCTTACATTTGTATTTATATGCGAGCCTCACACTTGTAGTTGCAATAGTTCGAGGGTTCTGTGGCTTCACAAAAACTCAAACAAAGAAGAGAGAGAAACAACAAACTCAAACCAGAAGCCAAAATAGAGAGCGCATTTTTAACACAGATTCTCTCTTTTCCTCTCCTGTCTCTCTTTCTATTCCTCTGTTCTTCTCTTCTTTCTCTCTGTTTCCACCTTCATACATTTCTGCTTCTGTTTTCCTTAGATTACAGAAGCAGAGAGCTTTGGTCTCTCCACATTTTTTTTTTTTTGCCAAAGCAACGAATCATATGGCATTTTCGTGAGATTTTTGTATATAAACCTGCACATTCTTAGGGGCAATGAGTTGTTTCTCTCTGATTTACAGCTTTTGAACCCAACTGGGTTTCTTCTTAATCATCTCGTGCGTCTCTGCAACATAGTGACTGACATTTCTTTGCATAACCCAAAATCAAAATCACACAAAAAAAGAGAAATTTTTCTTATCTCCTTCATATATATAAATAGATCTAATTGGGTTTTTTATTTTTATTTTTATTTTATGAAACTCTGTTTTTAGCTCTTGCTCTGTTTTGCTCATCTGTTTTTAGCCTCTTGCTCTGTTTCTGAGCTTCAAAACACAAACAAAATGGATCGGCTTTCGTCGACGGCGGTTCTACCGGATACATTTTCCGGTGCTAGAGACGATATGACAGAGCAAATTATGATGATTTGGGGTCAGATCAAAGCTCCATTGATCGTTCCTCTTCTTCGATTGGCTATGTTGTTGTGTTTGGTAATGTCTTTGATGCTATTTATTGAGAGGCTCTATATGGGCGTTGTAATCACGTTTATCAGTCTGTTTGGTCGAAAACCAGAAAAAAAGTACAAATTTGAGCCCATAAAAGACGATGTTGAATTGGGTAATTCAGCTTACCCATTGGTTCTTGTTCAAATCCCAATGTTCAATGAAAAAGAGGTCCCTTTCTCTCTCTCACTCTCTCTCTCTCTCTCTCTCTAGAATCTGACATTGCCCATTTTTTTCTAAAACAGGTATATCAGCTTTCAATAGGAGCTGCATGTGGGCTTTCATGGCCAAATGAAAGAGTCATAATTCAAGTTCTGGATGATTCAACAGACCACACAATCAAGGTAAACCCAGATCAAAAACCTTCAATCCCATCAAAACCCATTTGCTCAAACACTCAAAAAAGCTCATTTTTTTCAATCCAAACACAGATTATTACATACATTCATATGAATTTATGGGTGTAGGAAATGGTGGAATTGGAGTGCCAGAGATGGGCGAGTAAAGGGATAAACATAAAGTACGAAATCAGAGATAACAGAAATGGGTACAAAGCAGGGGCGTTAAAGGAGGGGTTGAAGCGAGATTACGTGAGGAATTGCGACTACGTCGTCATTTTCGACGCGGATTTTCAACCCGAACCCGATTTTCTCTGGCGGACTATCCCTTACCTTGTTCATAACCCTGAACTCGGCCTCGTCCAAACCCGTTGGAAGTTCGGTAATAATTGCCTTTTTTTGACATCCAAACACGCCCTTCTAATTTAGCGTAATCACTAGTTTTAGATGGGATTTCATAATTGTTTTGTGCATTTGTTTTTAGAATCTAAGAAAAAGTTTAAACTGGAAAAGTTATTTTTTTAAAATCATATTGGGCAGAATATACTAATGGTTTTTATAGTTTGGGGTTTGTGTCACTTTAGTTCCTAATTTTTTAATTGTGACACATTTGACTCAAAATTTTAAATTTTATTCTAAATAAAGACAATTGAATATACTATTGCTTAATTTTAAGGACAAAAGTGTCAATTTGATAAAATATAAACTAATTTGATAAAAATAAAGTCAAAAAAATATTTTTGAATATTTAAAAATTATTTCTATCCACTAAAAATAAAATTATGTAAAATTGATAAATCTTTTAAACATTTACATATTTATTTAATTATTTATTTATATCAAATTAATTTTTACTATGCATTTGAATGATGATCATGTAATGGGTAATTTTTATTTTCATTAAATTAGTTTGTATTTTTGTAAAAAATCAAATATAGCGACAACTTTAATATCATTATTAAACCAATCCATTAAGTCAAAAATCCAAAACTAAAAAATTTGATATATTAAATATATCGATTACACATTATAATCCTAACAACCACCCATTACATAGTTATCATCCAAACACAAAATAAAAATTAATTTTGTAAAATAAATAAATGTGTAAAAAATTTATCAATTTTACATGATTTTATCTTTGATTGATAGAAATAATTTTTAAAAATTTACAAATTTTTTTTTGACATTTATTTTTGTTAAATTAGTTTATATTTTATTAAATTGACAATTTTGTTCTTGAAATTAAGTAATGGTATCTTCAATTGTCTTTATTTGAAACAAGATTCAAAATTCATGGTCAAATATGTTACAATTGAAAAGTCAGAGACCAAACTGACACGAACTCCAAGCTGTAGGGATTGTTAGTGTAATTCGCCCAATCATATTTATCATTTATTTTTAATGAATCTTACAAGTTAAATATTTTAGATTATCATCCAAAATGAGTTCTAACCATGCAAATTGAGTGATAACAAGCTTTGGTTCTTTAATTATCACTGATAGAGAATATCAAGAAATTTATAACACGTAATATAGTTTTAATTTAATTCTTATATAACAAAATTCAAGTTTAAAATGAATTTTAACTACATGATAATTATTTTGAATATTTACTTAATTTTAATTTTTTTATTTTGAATAAAATTTTTGAATTCTTAACCTTCTAATTGGAAGACTCACAAAAATTGCTTCACAATCTGACTCACAATGCTATAATATAATAGATATTAATTTATAAATTATCACATATTTAATTGTGTAAATTTTATTTCTTTTATCACATTATTATAAATAAATTTAAAAATCTAATTTGTAAATCTTTTAGCACTTCTCTTAAATGCCCCACCTCTTATAAAACTGTCGGTCAGCCTATAAAAACAAACAGAGGGGAATATGTATCTGATGGTCCACCCATCCATGCAGTTGCAGTTACTGTTTGTAGCCATGAGGATTCTCACACGTGTCCTTTGTCATCTTGTTGTGGGTCCCAATATTAGGGTTCCAAAAATTTATAGAGGCACTTTCCGAATTCGATGTAGTGATTTTGTGGTGTTTTGTTAGAAAATTTGAGAAGAAATTTAAAAAAAAAATAAAAAATATAGGTAAAATATAAATAAAATATATGTATGTTTTATTTAGTTTTACATATTTTTTTTAAAAAAAATTTTCAATCAAAAACAACGTTAAGATTATCATTAAAAAAACATTTGGAATAGTTGAGATTTAATAATATAAAAATTAAGAGTATAATAATATAAAAAAATTAAAATGTAATAATACTAATAATTACTTTAAAAAAAATATTTTAATTATTCAAAAAAAAATCACTTTACAAAAAAGCCACTATACAGATTCCGGATCCGGACTCATGTTTTCTAGGTAAACTTCGTCAAAAGATGGGTCTGTTTGGGTTTACCTCAGTGGAAGTACACCTGGAAATTGCTTGTTTTTAAATGGAACTTTTTTGTTTTGAGTTTAATGACCTAACTGCCCCCACCCTTAAATCCTTTCATGAAAAAATAGTTTCAAACCACAACAGATGTTAAGGGCATGGTGATAAATACCCTGGTCTCACCAATTTATAAATGTAACTTTTATTTTTAAAATCTTAATTTTTTGTTATAATATAATCCCAATTATAAAATTATATTTTGAAATTTTTATGTTTGAGATTATTTTTATAACATCTTAGGTTTAGAAGTACATTAAAAAAAAAGAAGAAGAAAAGTAACTTAGGATCTAGGAGTGTATTCTTTTTAAGTTTCAAGTTCAACTCTCATTAAGAACAATCCGTTCATTGGAGCTATACTAGTGAACTCTATCTAAGATTAGTCGAGATATGTATAAACTTGTCCGAATATCTTATTATAAAAAATAATAATAATAAAAACAAAAACAAAAAAAAGATAGCCCTCTAGATTGTGGGGCATATTTGTCCTTTCGGCCCACCTACTTTTAATTCCCAGTACTACAACTGCATGTGTTATATTAGTGGTGGACCATTCACCTATACATAATTTTTTTTTTTTTTATGGCTGGAGGGGGTTAGGAGTTTGGGTTGTCTGGCAGTGAGATAATTTATGCATATCTTGATTAATTTTTTCTCTAAATCAATTAAAGACAAACCATTTATATTAGGATTAGAGAATTTACGAAAATTATTTTCTCACAGTTTAATCCCAAGAATTGAATCCTAAGTAATTGTGTGGGAAGCACACCCATCATGCACCTATACATGCATATATTATAAGTTTTTTACGCATCTTGACTCTGGAATTAACGATCGGATAAACTTTCAATAGCCTCAAGACTTGGGATATAAAATAAATAGATACCTATTATATCATATTATTGTAGGTAAAATTAAAAAGGCTACCGACATATCAGTATATCTTATTTGTCACTCAATAAAATCAACACTAGCATAATCTAGAGATTAATTTATGCATATCTTGATTAATTTTTTCTCCAATTCAGTTAAAGACAAACCATTTATATTAGGATTAGAGAATTCACGAAAATTATTTTCTCACAGTTTAACCCCAAGAATTGAATCCTAAGTAATTGAGTGGGAAGCACACCCATCATACACCTATACATGCATATATCATAAGTTTTTTACTCATCTTGAGGCTTGGTTTGGCATAATTTACAAAAGTTAAAAAATTAAAAAATCACTATTCTATTTAAGTCACATCATTTTATTTAAGTCACATCACCTCTCTACCACATCACTTCAAATCCAACCCATATTTCATAAAAAGTCAAAAAGTACACTTATTTAATTTATGCTAAACAACCCCCTTGACTTTGAAATTAACGATCGGATAAACCTTCAATAGCCTCAAGACTTGGGATATAAAGTAAATAGATACCTATTATACCATATTATTGTAGGTAAAATTAAAAAGGCTATCGACATATCAGTATATCTTATTTGTCACTCAATAAAATCAACACTAGCATAATCTAAGGATAAAGCGAAGAAAGGGGATTACCCCAACATTTCACATGAGACTTGAACTTGTAACCTGTGCTATGGAGGTTGAAGAACAAACAATTCTGACACAAGGCCATAGCAACAGTTCTATATGCACAGAAGATGTCATAGAGGATGGATCTCACATTGTGCACAGAAATTCTATGTAAAAAGTATTTTCATAAGTTATATAAATTAATATTTACATATACGTATATACATGTGTGTTTTGAAAAAAATGGTGACGTGGCAAATGAATTTTTTTTTTTTTTTGGTGGCAGTGAATGCAGACGAGTGCTTGATGACAAGAATGCAAGAGATGTCGTTGGACTACCATTTCACAGTGGAGCAAGAAGTGGGCTCTTCCACTTATGCCTTCTTTGGTTTCAATGGTTGGACACCTCTACCCCCTCCATTATGCCCTTTTTGTTTTTTTACCCCATAATTATTAGTAATTAATGAGAGTCATTGGCTATGTTTGGATGTTGAGAAAAAAATGAGGGGAAAATCTTAAATTCATATACCTTCTTCTTCTTCTCTTCATTTTTCCTGATCCAAACACAGGCAATTCAAATTTTAGCAAAAAATGAAGAAAGAAAAGTAGTTGGGACAACTTTGAATGTATGTTCAAATTAGATACGAACTGTCTAAGAAACAAAATTCATTTAAAAAAATGAGGACAATGTCATTTTGGTAAATAAATATTAATTTTATAAATGTTTTGTTTTGAAGTGACGCATCATTATGGATTCAAATTTTATATAAATTTTTTATTTGTATATAATTGATGAACTGCCTATTAGTAATGCATTTTTCACATTAATTGACAGAGCCTAATGGTAGTTGACCTTACAAATATTTATTGTGGAGCATACATATATGGATGGCATCTCATTAAATTCATGTGCCTTTTTCATAAAATTAAATGCATTACTTCATTGAGATAATAAATGATTTTGCTTTTTGGCTATAACAAAAATGAGGATTTGAATTCAATTTTTTTTTGAATAAGATTTTCAACCTTGCCATGGCTATACAAATCTTATTTGGAATTATCCGACCAATCACATCCATAGTAACCCTTTGCGAGGGATACTAATATTACTTTGATATTTCATAAATTATTCTCATTTTTTTAACAAATTTTTTTTTTTTTAGCAAATAAAAAAAATCACTCTTTTATCAAGTGGTGATTATGCATGTGAAGCATACATGTAATGAAAAATTATTCGGCTCTTATGAAAAATTATCGAGACAATTGTGAGCACGACTCTAATTGATTTTGTTATGATGTGTTTTAACATTCACTTTCACATTTCTTGTTTTTGCCAAGCATGTCATTTGTTGGATATACGAGTTATGTTTTTGTTTTATGTTGTGCAACTATAGGGACCGCTGGTGTGTGGAGAATTGCTGCAATTAATGAGGCCGGAGGTTGGAAGGACCGAACAACTGTTGAAGATATGGATTTAGCTGTCCGAGCTAGTTTGAAAGGCTGGAAATTCCTATACCTCGGTACTGTCAAGGTATTACGTTCTTAGAAAATACTATACAAACTAACAAATTTCACAGACTTTTATTATTTACTGACGTGGCATGCAATAATAAAACTTTGGAATGATACGGAACGGTTCAAATGGGCCATGTGGCATCTATATTCTTAGCTCCCTAAATGTCATTGGTTTTCCCATGCATTTACTCTATCAAAAACACAAATTGCCAAATTTATTGTTGATTCTTCATGATGTTTGTAATTTTATCGGTTTATTTTTATTGTAGGTGAAAAATGAATTGCCAAGTACATTCAAGGCCTATCGTTTCCAACAACACCGGTGGTCTTGTGGCCCTGCCAATCTTTTCAGGAAAATGGTAATGGAGATTATAATGAATAAGGTTAGAGTTCCCATCTATCTTCAAGAATTTTACTTGAAAACCAATGGCTAATTACTAAGTTTAAGACCCGATCAATCATTTTTTTTTTAATTTTAATTGCAGAGAGTAACGTTGTGGAAGAAAGTGCACGTAATCTACAGTTTCTTCTTGGTTAGGAAGATCGTCGCCCATATTGTCACATTTGTGTTTTATTGTGTCGTATTACCAGCAACTGTTTTGGTACCGGAAGTTGTGGTTCCGAAGTGGGCATCAGTTTACATTCCTTCCATCATCACCATTCTCAACGCTGTTGGAACTCCAAGGTCTGGTTTTCTTGATAGTTCTTTGCATTCTAAAGTTCAGTTATATTTGAATTTACGGTTTATGTTTGGATAAGCATAAGCTAGTAGTAGCCTTTGGATTCACTCTTGCTTCATTAGTTCATTCGATTTCATTTGTTACACATCCAAGGCAATGATCTACCAACTTTTGCTCATCAAAACATGAGCATTCATAATTTACTTTTAGTGAAGTCAAATAGCAATTATATTTTTATATTTCTATTTGGAGAAAAGTAAAATCAAGATTAAATCAATTTCCTTATCCTTGTCCAAGCCCGAGTATGTTAGGTAGCCTGACAATCAACACTTTAAAATCTACAATTGATCCCTTAAAAACTTGAATTTTAATATGAATATGCAGCATTTGGTTTACTGGTTCCTAAGAAACAGTAAAGAGCAATGAAACTATGAGACTATTGTTCTAAAACAAATTTGAAACAAAAAATCACATCCATCACTGAAGTTTAACCCAGGTTCTGTTTTTCATGTTTTGATCCCGCAGGTCACTCCACTTATTGGTGTTCTGGATCCTTTTTGAGAATGTCATGTCGCTGCACCGGACCAAGGCCACCTTCATTGGTCTTCTAGAGGCTGGGAGAGTGAACGAATGGGTTGTCACTGAGAAACTCGGGGACGCTCTCAAGACAAAAGCAGCCACTAAAGCACCTAAAAGACCCCGGTTTAGGATTGGAGAACGGTACAAATTCTCAAAACCTCAACCTACCTTCACATTTTAATCACACACTACACGATTTGTTTGGTGCAGCTTCTTGCAAGGTAAAAACTGATAATTAGAAGCAAAAGTAGAAACTAAAAGCACTCCTTCCTCTGCTTCTCAATAATCAGCTTTTTATAACTTATTTAAGCTATTTTTGCTTCATAACCTTTAAACAAAAGTTGGACTGACATAGATTTCTATAAATAAAAAAAAAGGCTTTTTAGGCACTTGAATTGTTATGACGTCCAACTAACAACTCATTCTTTTCCAAACATCGACAGAATCCATTTGCTAGAACTTGGGACCGGGCTTTTCCTCTTCTTCTGCGGTTGCTATGACATTGCCTTTGGGAAAAACCATTACTTCATCTACCTCTATGTCCAAGCAATGGCTTTCTTCGTCATTGGGTTCGGCTACGTTGGCACCTTTGTCCCCAACTCTTAAGCGTGACTCATTTCTCTATTCATCACCCGCGTGTTTATCTTACTTAAACACCAAGTGTCAATGGGGTTCTTCCATAATGCATGTCAGTGGCATTTTTAGCAACATTTTTAAAATTTTGGTTTTTAATGTATTAGCTTGTAAAAAAGAACAAAGCCGCCAGTCGTTTCATTCTTTTAGCTCGATCATAAGAATTCCGAGTCACTGACTCGAAGGAATTAGCTTGTGTATATTCCCAAATCAAGAAGATTACTTTGAGAAATGGGCAAAGACATAGAAGCAAAGTAAAGGTAGCAGAACATGAGTTCCCCGAAAGTAGTAGATATATAAAAACATGATCAAATGGTTTGATTGTACTTGTGTGATACTTTCCTAGTAAATTTGTCCCCTTTTTTTGGTTTTTTTTGTTTCTGAAGATTGTGTTTGTTTCAGATGAATAAACTGATGGAAACAGGAAGAAAAAAAACATTTTGTTTTCAGTTTCATCATTCAATTTATGTACTATAATGATTTTGCAGCTTGTTTTCTTCTTTTCTTGATTGTGTTTGGTGTTTGAACTTACTTCTCTCTCTCTCTCTTTCTCTCTCAACCATACCAGAAGTCATTTATTGATTTCTCCAACAATGAACAATAATTGAAGGGCTTGCAATAAAACTATGAGGATTGACCAACTACTCATTTATTTTTTCAGCGAAGACCAGACATTGTATTTGTTTCACAGAAAGGATTAGGCAAAAAAAGTAATGGAGGACAGAGTTTTAAAAGCAATGCAGAAAAACATTAAATCAGGTAGACACAGACTTCATGGTTGTTTCATGGTGGTTGTTGAAGATATAAATTACACCATATTTTTAGCATTGATCAGGGAAATATCAATCCATGTGGAAGACATGCTTCTCCCAAGCTGAAAACCCATAACTGGTTGTCTTAGGGTTCATTTTGGAATTGGCTATTTTAGTTAATTTTTTGATTTTTTATGAAAAGACTATAAGCTTTTTGTATTTCTGTATATTCAACTTAATTATGTTTACAAAGAGTGCATCAGTTTTATAGCCCAAATCTATGACAGAAAAAGAAAATACAAAGAAAAGAAAATTGCCTAATTCGTAATATACACAAGTAAGGAAATTGTCTAATTCCTAATAGACAATATACCATATATACAATATATATTCTCACACTCCTGCTCAAACTCAAGGTGTTTTAGTAGAAAACACTGAGAGTTTGCTAAGAAGAAACTAAAACCGAGCAGTAGTGTGAGTCTTGGTGAAGAAGTCTGCAAGTTGCAAGGCCGAGGAGACAAAAGGAAGTGAGATAGAGCCAGACTGTAGATGTTGTCAGACAAAGTGACAATCAATCTCAATGTGTTTCGTTCATTCATGGAAGATAGTATTGTGAACAATCTGAATAACACTGCGGTTGTCACAATAGAGGGAGATCGGAGAAGATTGAGGTACATCCAAATCAGAGAGAAGACAACGAAGCCAAACAAACTCAGTAGTAGCATGAGCCATAACACGGTACTCAGTAGAGCGAGTAACAACAGTTTGTTTCTTACTTTTCCAAGAGATCAAGGAATCGCCAAGAAACATACAGAAACCAGAGGTGGACTTGCGATCAGTAACATCACCAACCCAATTAGAATCAGCATAGGCCACCAAGTCTAAAAAGGAAGTAGAGGACAACAGCAAGCCCTGAAAGATGGTACCCCGGAGATAGCGAAAAATACGAACCAAAGCATCCCAATGGATAGAGCGAGGAGCAAAAACGAACTGACTAATCACATGAACAGCATAAGCAAGATCAGGGCGAGTGACAGTCGAATAAACTAAACAACCCACCAGCTCGCGATAGATCGTGGGATCATCTAGGGAGATATCATCAGTAGAGTTGAGTTTCACATTAAGCTCAATAGGTGTATGAGAAACCTTAGTATCAGTAAGACCGGCACGGTGAATAACCTCATTAGCATACTTGGCCTGCGACAGAAAATAGCCCTTTGGAGAAGAGGCAACCTCAATACCAAGAAAATACCGCAATGGACCCAGATCCTTCATTTCGAAGGTGCGGAAGAGATGTTGCTTGACCTTAGAGATAGTAAAAGAGTCAGAGCCAGTGATGATCATATTATCCACATAGAGTAGGAGAACAACAAAACCAGCCGAGGTATATCTCAGAAACAAAGTAGAGTCGGAAGCAGAAGGATGAAACCCAAGCTCGATAACAACAGTCTGAAAGCGATCATACTAAGTACGAGGAGACTGCTTCAAACCATACAAAGCACGCCGAAGACGACAAACCTGCCTAGAGGAATGGAGAAGACCGGGGGGGGGGACGCATGTAGACCTCCTTAGTGAGATAACCGTTAAAAAAAGCATTCTTAACATCCATCTGATAGAGAGGCCAATGTCGTACAGCAGCAACATAAATCAAGGTACGGAAAGTAGTCATTTTGGCAACATGGGCAAATGTCTCCTCATAATCAATACCATACTCCTATGAGAAACCCTTAGCAACCAAACGAGCTTTGTAGTGCTCAAGAGAACCATTAAAATGAGTCTTGATTTTGTAGACCTATTTGCAACCAACCATATTCTTACTAGCAGGCAAAGGAAATAACTCCCAAGTACTAGTTTTCTGTAAAGCAGATAACTCATCCTCTATAGCTTGAACCTAGTGAGGATCCTGACAGGCTTCCTTGTAAGACTGAGGTTCTGAAAAAGAGTGAATAGCAGACAAAAAAGTACAATAGGAAGCAGAAAAACATGTATTAGACCAACCCAACCTGTTTGGAGGACGACGCTCACGAGGAAGATAACAGTGTGCAGCAGGATTAGAGTCGTCAGAAACAGAAGGAGCAGCAATAAGAGAAGAGACAACTAAGGGTGGGGGAGCCTTGCGATGAGAATAAACCAATAAAGGAGGGAAAGAAGCAACTGAAGGAGAAAAAGGAGCCATAGGTGACGTAGACAGAGAAGTAAGAATGTCCTTAGGAGGAACAGTGGCAATACATTCATCTGATGGGACCTCAGAAAGAAATGGGTCGATGTGAACCAAATCCTCTTTGGAAACGGGAACAGTGAGATGGAAAAACTAAAAGTAAGATAGACGTTCAAGAAATGCAACATGACGGGAGACATAAAGGCGACGAGAGACAGGGTCGTAACAGCGATAGCCGTTCAAAGTAAGACTGTAGCCCAAAAAGACACACAAGACGGACCAGACGCTGAGTTTGGTCTGATCTATACGGGAAAGGAGGACAAAACAAGCAGACCCAAAGAAATGCAAGAGGGAATAATTGGGAGGTTAAAAATACAGAGCCTTATAAGGGGATTAAGAAGAGTAGGGGAGTCGGCATGTGATTAAGGAGGAAAACAGCAGTAAGAATTACCTCACCGCAGAATGGTGCCTGAACAGAGGCAGAGAGAATGAGAGATCGAGTTATCTCAAGGAGATAACGGTGTTTACACTCAGTACGACCATTTTGAGTAGAGGTATTATAGACACCCCATTTTTTACGGCCTTTACGACTTGGACGTCATCGCATGCACACCCGATGATGAGTCGACATGCTTGTCAAATGCTCGAAGTCCTCAACAGAATGCCACAACTTTGAGTCTTTCAAACCCTGTACCCCTATTTCCTCATTCTTGGACCAAACCTTGGTTTTTCAAGCCTGCAGCTTCTGGTGGCCTTTTTTGGGCTGCCGGCCATCACTCTTGGTTGCCGGCCATTGATGTGGCCTGCCGGCCACCAGTGTGTTTTGCAGATATTTTGTGACAGTTGTGCCAGCTATTTGCACAAATGCTTACATCTGCTCGCACATGTAGGGATGAATATTCTTGAGGGAAATTCATGTTTTTTATATCTAGAGGGCCTCCCTCTCATGTTTTAAGGTTAGAAAAATTTTAGAGCAAAATTTTTCATCTCTCTCTTCCAAATTTCTACACTTTAGCCTACATATCCTTAACCTCTGCCTATACACCCTTAAGCAAACCTTCTCATCTTTGAGCTGAGGTACTTTTGAGCTTGGTTTGAGCTCTTGAAGAGTGTGTTGTCTTGATTTGTTGCCTAGAATTGGTCTTCTCTTCAAGAGGTATAAGGCTTTGCTTGTTGCTTTGTTTTATTTGCTATAATTCTTGAAATTTTCTAACTGTTTTTGGGCTATAAAAACTCTGTATTTTTGGGCTGAAACTTGGGTTCTAAGGCCATTAAAGGTTAAGGGGTGGTCCACCCTTCTTTGCACCTTGTTTTGAAAGCCTTTACCCTTGTGTTTCTTATCCTTTTACTATCTGTTTTTGAGCTTTTAAATACTAATTTTTAAAGTTATTTCAGTGGCCAAAATCATGTTTTGAAGTCCAAATTTGGAGGGGTTAACCTCCCCTCCTTATGTCTTGTTTACTAGCCTAGCTTGTACTATATTTTAGCATATTAATCTAACTATTGTTGTCTTAATTCCAGCATGTTGTAGAACTGTTTTAGACCTATTTTAGCACTATTTTTGGTTGATAGTTGCATTTGAGCTTTGTTTTGCATGCTTATGATGTAATTGTCCTCATAAGTTTGGTGTTCTAGGCCTTAGACTCTATCTTATTTGAGTTGATTGCATTTATTTATGACTTTATATACTTGTGATCACTCTTAATCACCTCTGCAACCTCGCTCCTTTCTTGACTTTTATTTTGCTTTAAAAATGGTTCAAATAACTTGTTTGTTTAAAGTATGAGATTGAAATGTCATGTTTAATGGTTTAATCCCTTTGGGGTTCATTACTAATGGTATGATGTCTCTTTCATGCCTAAGACAACACTTGGTTTGAACCCTCTTTCCATTAGAGGATTTAAACTCACCATTGGACTCAATGAATTAAAGGATGGTTGGTAATCAAAATGAAATAATTAAAAATGGGACTAAAATGGTGCAAGATAAGAATTTGGTTTTGTGTTCCATCGGTCCTTAATTGAACACATGGAAGCTTGAGGCATTTCATACTAATTAGTGATGAAGTGGTTCAAGTTTCCAAAGTCACCACTTCCCTTGATCAATTCATGAAAGGGAGAAGGTTAGAGTCTTATTTTGTTACATTTATTGAAATTGCACGCTTTGGTTCATAAGCCATCATGCAATAAAATTGCTTAAATTGTGGTTTGTGGACCAAGCTTACTACTCCTTTGATTTGTTCATGAAAAAGAGAGGTGAGTTGTGCAAACAAACCCTTGAGAATACCCTGTGCATGCTCTATTTGTCCTCTGTTGCAACAAGGTGAACTGGGCAGCAGTGGCCGGTAGGCCACCTTTGATGGCCGGCAGGCTATCACTGATGGCTGATAGGCCCTCACCATTGACCGGCCAGCCACTGATGCAAAATTCAGCAGTGTGTTCTTTAAGCAGAGCAGAGCCATTCTGGAAGTGAGCAAAGGTGTTTGTGTTCTATTGTGCAACAGAGACCTTCTGGAAGTAAAACAGTTGTTTTTCGGGTGGAAACCGAGCACATGCATGAGCATTCCTCCCATACCGA